CATTAAACTTTACCCAAATGATTAAATGCTGTTTGATTTTTTTAAACTAAGCTTCTAATTTAACTAAAACATGAAGCATCAGAACTAAAATGGCTAATTACAGCAAACAAAGAGGGCGTAATAGCATATGAGATAGAGGCACTGAAAAAGAATTATTTAAGTTTCTCATGAGCAATGTTCTCATATATCTACGTGACTATTCTCAGATGATGCATGCTAGGCTCTAGGCAGTCAGATCCAATAACAATTAAAACAGGCAACAAAAAACGATTCTGCCCTTAGGATCCTGGGTTGGTGGGGGAGTGATCTGCTAGAAAAATATTCCACAAAACAACACATAACATTGAGCTTACTAAACAAAGTCACTGAAGAGAAAATTATTGATTTTGAAGGGTGTTGAGATTATTCATATTTCCTCTCCACTAGTGTGAATCTATTAAAGTAAAAGAAATGTATGTAAAATGAAAAATGTAAAAATGTAAAAATGAATGTATTTTGAAGTTACTGTACACACTGAGGGTTACTGGTTACTAAAATACGATATTTTAACAAACATAGGTAGGACCAGTTCAGCACCAACATTTTTTGCACTAAACCAAAATACTTGAAGAATATACCCTGTATCCAAGACATATACACACACTGCTAAAGTCCCAGGACTTTTCAGAGCTCACTCCCTCCTCAGGATTGCCTCTGCTTAGAGGTTCTCACCAACCACTCCAGCCTCAGCCCAGCCTGGTCACACTTTCAGATGCTGCTGCTGGAACCAGATGTACTGAATATGACTGCTTGGAAAAGGGCTCAGCTCTTATATTAGAAGAGTTTTATCCACATTATTGCTGTCCCATAAAGACAATGTATTAGAAACAGGAAGCAAAGAAGCGCCAGCAGGTTACACTGTCTCTGCACAGCTCTGATGTCAAAGAAAATGAGATACAGCAGCTGGGACTATGCCAAGAAACAAACTGAGGGAGCTACAGCATCCTGATCTGCTGGTACCCTGACCATGAGTGTGCAACACAGCACAGCTTCTGTCCTTGGACACGAGTGTGCAACACAGCACAGCTTCTGTCCCTTGGACACGAGTGTGCAACACAGCACAGCTTCTGTCCCTTGGACACGAGTGTGCAATACAGCACAGCTTCTGTCCTTGGACATGAGTGTGCAACACAGCACAGCTTCTGTCCCTTGGACACGAGTGTGCAACACAGCACAGCTTCTGTCCCTTGGACATGAGTGTGCAACACAGCACAGCTTCTGTCCCTTGGATATGAGTGTGCAACACAGCACAGCTGCTGTCCCTTGGACATGCTCTGCACCAGAGTACACATCACTGCACATCGAGCTGTTTGCCTGTAGCCTGCCTAGAAGGGGCAAGCAACAAGTATGTGCAATTCCTAAGTTCTGCTTCTGATTGTCTTCCCTGCTTTCCTCTACTACCCTGCTTAAATAGGAAATACTTTCACTTCGGCTGTGTTGCTCTGTTTGGAAAGATAATACATAATATAATACATAAGTTTATGTTTTTCTCTTATGTTTGTAGGACCATCTTGGGATACCCCAAACCTGTGACACATGTACACATGTGTAATCATGAACCACTGAAGAGAAAGTATATGCTGGAATGTTTTATTAAGAAGACTCGTAGCAGAATCCTTTTCCTCAAGTCACTCATAGTAAAGATTCAATGTTTCGTAACCACTTCTTCAGCACAAGCATGCGGCACAACTCCAAGCGGAGCCCAAGTTAACACATCTACTTAGCTGTTAAGGTAAATATTTTACGTCAGTCATGCATTATTCACGCTGTTTGCCGGCACCCGCGGGCTCCCCGGCATGCTCGGAGCCGTCCGAGCCCCGCCGCGCCTGCCCGGCCACGGCGGTCCCCGCCGGCCCCCCCGCATCCGCACAGCCCCATCCTCCTCCTCCTCCTCGCTCGGAGGGCGGGCGGCAGCGCAAGGTGTGTCGCAGGTGCCCGGCTATATCAGGCGGCGCGGCGGCGGCGCGGCGGCCCCATGGCGGCGCCGGCCATGGCCGAGCCGCGCTCCAAGCGGCCGCGGGTGACGCTGCCCGCCTGCCCCGCGCACCGCCCGCTGCCCGGCAGCCGCGTCCGCCACGGCTTCCCGCCCGCCGTGGAGGAGGCGCTCTGCGGCCTCACCGGCGCCCAGCTGGAGCTGCACTACTGCCTGCAGGCGCTGGTAAGGCACGGCCACGGGAGGGCACGGCGGGTGCGTGTGCCCCCATCGCCCTGCGCCGGCAGCCGCCGGCGGGGGGGAAGGAGGTGCCGGAGCCCGGCTGAGGAGGGTTTAGAGTCGGGCAGGGACGGCACAGAGGTGCTGTGTCCTGAGCCAGGGGGTTTGGGGGCTCTCCGGGCTCCCCGACCCGCCGCCGGCAGCGATCCTGGCAAAGCCGCGAAAACAAGGAGGAAGGTCCGAAACGCGCGGGCTGTGAAACGAGCGCTCCTGTGGTTTGGGTAATTCACAGAGGGCCTTTTGCCTGGGAAAAAGGGACAGGAAGACGGGATGCTAACAGCTTTGAAGTATAACGCTTGAGTGGGCTTTCCCCCAAACTTAAATAGTTGCGTGCGGTTAACTATAGCATGTGGACGTTGAGGATGGCTTAGGGTTTCTTGCTCCACAGGCATGAACTTTGGACATGAAATCATAAAAGGTATCACGGATACCATGCCAAATTCATGCCAGAATTCCATCTGGCTACATTATCAAGTGTTAAGGCAAACATATAACTTAACAGAGATGTTAAAATTAAAAAATCAAAATTATCAATGCCATACCTTCTGATGGCAAGCATCCCCGGGGGAGCAACACAAAATATATTCAGTATATTCCCAACATCTTTCATTTGAGTTTGGTATCAAGTATAAGTTCAATGAAAATTTAAGTATGCAGTAAAACATGTTAAGCCTGTGGTAGAAAAAAGTTGTAGTGACTGGCACCTAGATAGGATGGAGAAAACTCAGTTAGAAATTGACTGTGGATAAATCAAACCTAGAAATGTGAACATCCTAAATAGTGAATGATTGATATAAAAGACTTACCTTAACAGTTAAGCAGATGTGTTAACTTGAACTCCACTTGAAGTTGTGCTGCATACTTGCACTGAGGAACTGCTTATAAAACACTCAATGTTGGCTGTGCTGTCAACAGAAACAGGAATGAGTGACTTGAGGAAAAGGATTCTGCAAATAAAGCAATGAATGTTCTTAATAAAATGTTCCAGTATGTGCTTTCTCTTCAATGGTTTATGGTTGTGTGCATCTATGTGTGTCACAGCTTTAGGTTGTCCTAAAAAGGCCCTAAAAATATAAGAGAAAAAACTTGTGTGCTTAACATGTCTTCATTTTCTTTCTGAACACAGATGAAATGAAAGTATTTCCTATTTAAGCAGGGTAGTAGAGGAAAGCAGGGAAGACAATCAGAAGCAGAAGAACTTAAGAAATGCACATACTTGTTGCTTGCTCCTCCTAGGCAGACTACAGGCAAACAGCTCGATGTGCAGTGATGTGTACTCTGGTGCAGAGCATGTCCAAGGGACAGAACCTGTGCTGTGTTGCACACTCATATCCAAGGGACAGAAGTTGTGCTGTGTTGCACACTCGTGTCCAAGGACAGAATTTGTGCTGTGTTGCACACTCATGTCCAAGGGACAGAAGCTGTGCTGTGTTGCACACTCATGTCCAAGGACAGAATTTGTGCTGTGTTGCACACTCATGTCCAAGGGACAGAAGCTGTGCTGTGTTGCACACTCATGTCCAAGGGACAGAAGCTGTGCTGTGTTGCACACTCATGGTCAGGGTACCAGCAGATCAGAATGCTGTAGCTCCCTCTGTTTCTTGGCATAGCCCCAGCTGCTGCCTCTCATTCTCCTTACCATCAGACCTATGCAGAACCAGTGTAACCCTGCTGGCTCTCCTTTGCTACCTGCCTGTAATACTCCTCTTTATGAGACAGCCATACTATGGATAAAATATTCTAAATATAAAAGGTATTAGATCTGTTAGCATAGTTAAATATGGCAGTGGTTTAAGTTGTTACTTTCCCATACAGAACAGAACAAGGCCAGCAGAGGATTTAGGGTTGTAATATTTCTGAAATTATAGAATGGCCTTGGTTAGAAAGGACCTTAAAGATCATTGGGTTCCAAACCCCCTGCCATGTGCAGGGACACCTTTCCCAAGACCAGGCTGCTCAGAGCCAGCTTGGCTTTGAACACTTTCAGATGGGACATCCACGGCTTCTCTGGGCAACCTGTTCTGGTGTCTCACCATCACAGCAAAGAGTTTTTTCCAAATACCTAATGCAAATCTGCTCTTTCAGTTTTACACCATTCCCCCTTGTCCTGTCAGTGCATGCTCTTGTAAAAAGTCCCTCTCCATCTTTCTTACAGGCTCCCATCAGGTACTGGAAGGACACAATTAGGTCACCAGAGCCTTCTCTTTTCCAGGCTGAACAAACCCAATTCTCTCAGCCTTTCCTCACAGGAAAGGTGCTCCATCCCTCTAATGACTTTGTGTTCCTCCTCTGGACTCACTCCAGCAGATTTATGTTCTTCCTGAGATGCCTTCCCAGGCATCTATTTATTAGTTACATCTAATATTGAAGGTGTATAGTTCAGTAGCAGTATCCATTATTTTGGACTACCATTGTCAATAATAAAGCTGATAAACATGTGCAAAGTTATGCTTGTTTTCTTTTTGGTGTTTGCCTCATCTTTCTCATAACTTTGAAAGCTAACTTTTGACTGGAATGCAGGCCTGCAGGGATAAATTTTATGTTCCCTGTTCTGGATTATGCTTAAAAAACAAAACAAAAACCCTCCACAAAACACACATGCTAACCATTCATAAATAAAATATTCTGAAGATCTTTTAACTGCTACTGCAAGCGTAACATCAGTACTACAGTTGCCTGATGGATATTAAAGGCTAGAAGGAGTTCTAATAGAAGTATAGATTTTTCATTTTATACTCTAACTACTCACTTCATTTATTGCAGAAATTGCATAAAGGTCTCCAAAGTGATTGTGCTTTGTGAACAAAACATCTTCCATTGGAAGGGTCTCCCAAGTTCTGTTAAGCCACATTCTGCTGCAGGTGAGTCCCATATCTGGCAAATCTTAACAGTCTTGTTTTGTGTGCTTAGGGTGAATATTTTGATCAGTCACATGTGGCTCTACCAAATATTTCTAAATTCTTCCTGCATCAAGCTCTGGAAGAGAGAAAAGCCGCAGAAGCATTAATGAAGTATCAGCAGGAAAGAGGAGGCCATTACTGCTCTAAAACCATCCAGGTGGGTAGTAGGCAACAAATTTTCAAGCAGCTGTGATCTGTTTAACTTACTGAATTATATTGTTGATACTTCAGATCTCTGAATTCACCCACTATTAGATTTCCAGATATAATTTATCCGGCATTCTTGTGTACAAAGTTTTGTTCTTCATTGTGATGCCTAGAAACTGTCAGACATAGAGTCCTAACTCTATGGGGTTGCTTTCCAGCCCAAAAGAATATGGACAGTTTTCCCCTTTTCTTTCTCTCAGCTGGATACTGCTATTTCCAGTATGCTGCAATGGATTATGAGTCCTTTAACTGTGCTGAAACAGCTCACTTGTCTCCTTCACACTGAACCTAAGTGGAAGCTTAGACATGACTAGCACCTAAGAAGGAAGGAGAACCATCCAGTTTGGGGCAGTAGTTGATTTCCTAAAGTACAGCTCATGACAGAATTTGAACCAAGATCTAACTTAGGCTTCCACAAGTGCAAAGGAATAACTCAAAAGTTTTCAGGAAGAAAATAACCCACCTTATTTAAGACCAAGATGCTGATTCTCCTCTACCAAATTAGTTGATACAGAATGCTCTTCTTTGGTCCATCATAGCAGTTAAGCTGTAGAAAGTAAAAAGGCTATTACAAAAACCTTTCTGAATACTCAGTTTGCATAGAGGATCTTAGGACTTCCAGTACTTAAAGGGGACTACAGGAAATAGGGAGAAGGACTCTTTGTCAGGGAATGCAGTGTTAAGATGAGGGATTACAATTTTTAACTGAAAGAGGGCAGATGTAGGCTAGATACTAGGAAGTCCTCCCTCTTTACTGTGAGGGTAGTGAAACACTAGAAAAAATGCCCGGAGTAGTAGAGGATCCCCCATTACTGGGAGTATTCAAGGCCAGGTTTGATGGGCCTTTGAGCAGCCTGGTCTAGTGGAATATGGCAGAGGGCGGGGACAAGATGATTTTAAGGTCCCTTCCAACCCCAACCATTCTATGATTGGGTTTCCTGGTGTAAGAACCCTCTTTAGGCATAGCTGCTGCTATGTAAATCTGTTCCTTGAAGAAGTGCTTGGGTTCTACCACTTGTGTTTACAGCCTGAAAAAAAAAATAGATGCTCCAAACTGGAAGCAGCTGTTGCAAAACCCTAGTACAACTTTTTTAGAGCACTAGGTTAAGTTGCAGGAATCCATTGATGAATACAGATACATGAGCTGTTCTTTTGAGTAAATACAATTCTGTCTTTGTTTTCAGAAACCAAACTGTGATTATGCAGTCGGTCTGATGAAAGCCCTGGAACTAGCAATGGTACAATGGAAAACTATGCTACGATATTTTGAAGAGCTTTATGCCCTGAGTGTTGAAAATGCAGACCCTCATAGTGCAAGCACTATCAAGAAACAATTTATTGGGCCCAAAATCCAGAAGATCAAGCTGATGGGAGATCTGCTGACCAATGCTCGCAGGCTTGACTGTTCCCAGGATGGCAAAAATAGTCTTGGGGATTACTTTATGGATCGGCTGCAAAAAGAGTTCAGAACCAGCATAGAGCCAGAGTCCAGTGATCACTGCAGCCCCTGCCCACCTCTCCAGCAGTGCACAGGAGCTGCAGAAGGTCTGAAGCGACCCCAGAGAGAATGCTCCCAGCACAGAAATGGCATAGGGCCAATATATGCAACCATTCACTGCACCACGATGCTGCCACAGTGTAACAATGGCACAGGAGCAAAGGTGAAGCAGGGCAGGGAGGGCCTTTAATGCTCAGGCTGCTGCAGCTACAGGGCAGCTCCTCAGGCAGACCTCTCCTGAGGGTGAAGCTGGGACCAAAGCTCAGGAGACATGATGCTCCCTCCCTCCTCCTGCTTTACACCCCATTCCCTCATCCTTTGCTGAGTCACAGCTCAAAATCTAGCCTGTACCACTGTTAGCTTTAAATGATAGCAAGGTTGCCAGCTAGACTGTCACATTTATCTATGCAATTCTTCCTAGAAGCCAAAAGTTCTTAAGCTTCTCCTCTCTCTTAAATGATTAATAGGATCAATTAGTGCAAATTATTTTATGAATATATATATAAATTTTATTAAAACAAATAAAAAAGAAATCACTGTACCTTTAGTGCAAGGAAACTTTTACATGGCAGAAAATCCAAATACTAGTTTTATATTACTGAATATTTTATTTTACTATTCAGTATTTAAAATTACTAACAAGTATAGTAAAATAATGAACTTTTTAAAAATACTTGTTCAAAAACAATGGGTTTTTTTCTTATTTCTATCATAGTAGCAATTTAAATAAGTAGTCTAATGAATTACTGATCAGCTATTTCTGGTGGTATACTTCAGGATGAAGGATACAAACATTTCCTCAACAGTGGGAATAAGAAAATGTGCTGATTTCTTTATAGCTATTTCCTAGCTGCCTTTTCTCATCCTCAGAAAGTAGATGAGAGAGAAATTAGGAGTTCTCATTAGATGAGAACTTTAGAGGTTCTAGGGCATATTTTGCATGTGTCACCAAAGACAGTAGCTTTGTCCAGACTTAACACAGGATGATTGCTTTAATTATGATACAGAGCCCTGTCTCAGCTAGCTCACTAAAGGTATTACTGTGGCACTCCTGCTACTTCTTATATTCCCTATTTGGTTCGAAGTAGGGGCATGAGATCCTAGTGAAAAAACAGCACACTTAAATAGAAGTGCATCAAAGAGAATGGCTACTCATTAGTTTTGCCTTTCAATTAGGGCAGTGTCAGTGAGCTTGGTTCAACTGCAGAGGTGTCCAAATTCCTCTCATTAGTCCCCTACCAGAGTACCTCATTCTGTAGCCTGGCTCCCAAGGTCACCTAAGAAGAGCAACTGGCCAGATCAGCTGCCTGCAGTTAGGGATTTTTTGTCATTATATACATCTTTTCTGTAGTTGGCATTTGATTAATTGGAAGATTGCCTCACACTTTTGTGTACTACTTTAGCTGATACTCCTGTTTTGCTTAAAAATAAATTCAGTTCTATGTCTGCATCTCCAGTGTATTCCTCAATTCACCACCCAGGCATGCTCATGTTCTTCTCCAAGAGATTTTGTATGTGTACAAAACTGTGCCAGTATTTTTTTGCATCTGAGGAAGTTGTGCATGATGGAAGAGTATGACGGAGTGAAAATAAATGCCAGAAAACTGCATTACTCTAAAAGCACTGCATAATGAAACATTTTTAGTAAACTCTGATAGAGCTACAGTAGCAATTAAGTAGCAATTTCTGCAAAGCCCACCTTCTGTTGGTGTTGTAACATGGGATAGAAATCAATGTAATCAATGCAGATGTTTTCCCAATCTTTTCTGTGAATGTGGTCCAGCTTTGGGGTGGGGATGGCGAACACAACTACATTAAAACAACCTCTGTGTTAATCCATAAAAATACTGCCAAGTGCCACAAGAATGGCTCAAAGCACTTTTAAAATCATGCTAGATTTGCCTTTGTTGAGATTGCTGATCTCTAATACAGCAGGAGTCTAAAAGATATTTCCATCTGGGCTAGATTCCATCACCCATCCTCATGCTGAGCATACCTTATTCAACAATTAGTTCCACTGACTGCAACTCAACATGAATAAGAGCAATGGAATCCATCCCTCTCAGTGTTAAAATACAGCTCACTAAGTGTGAACAGAGCAAAGCTACTAACTGAATTCTAAACTAGTGCTGTATAAAACTACTTCATGTACTACTAGTAATGTTTGACCTACTTGTACAACAACCTTCACCTTTTAAAAGCTGATGACCCAAAACGTAGTTACAGCTTCCTCCATGGCTTACAGCATTTAACAAAGTCCAACATAACAAATAATACATCATCTAAATTTTTCAGAGCTAGACTTACTTGACTCTTATTTTCCCATGAAGTAGTGCCATGTCTGTTTCTCAGACTTCTCATGTTCATCTTCTAAACAAATGTATCCACATACTCTGAGGATTTAAGTCTTTTTCTCTCCCTTTTCCTTTGCCAGAACATGTTCTGGGCCTTTGCCTCTAAAGACAATTCTGTTAATTCCAGATAAACTCAAAATCAGCTGTTTCCCCAGCCCCTATCCTCCAAAAAAGAAAAGATAAATCAAGCAATTACTGCAGATAATAAGCTCTCCTTGTCCACATGCTGCTTCTGCTGAGGGGGCATACATGCTTGTGAATATGGTCTCAGATTTAACAATACCTGTCAGTTGTGTACAGGATGAATCTATCCATGTTTTTCAATGCAGGAAGTACAATCTGCTTCTGCCTTCCCAGCTTCCTTTTCAATCACATCCTGAAAAATAATATACCAAGGATGAATGTAGAATAGGTTAAGGGAAACAGCTCTTATAGAAACTTTACAAATTCTCTGCTGAATGCTTGTTGAGCCACACTCTCTGTATCTGTACTACCAAAGCAGTGCCCAAACATTCCACACAACCTGGGAAAGCTCTGAATAGCTAGTGCAGCACCAGTACCCTAAACATAGCATCCAAACTGGAAGATCAGGAGAGACCTAATCTTTACAGAAATTATGATTACAGCCCCAGAGGCTTTCAAAGAGGTTTAACAATGGAATCCTTGTAAATGCTTGCCATAAACACTACCTATGGTTGCCTGCTCTCAGAGTGAGGAATGCCCTTGAAAATCTCCAAGTGGAGATTGTTCTGTCCTTCATCCTCTCCACTGTGGCCACACAAAACTGGGAAGAGCATCTCAGGGTTTGTTCTTTGCAAGAACGTTTTTTTCAGGACTCACTGTACATGGCAACATCTTTCTGGACAAACATGTCTTTGGGAATTGCACTGGAAAGTAGATGTTAGTGGTGGCACCAGTAGGGAATCACAGAATCATAATTGTTAGGATTGGATGGCATATCTGGAGACCAGCATGTCCAAACCCAAAGGAAGGTGTCCTCAAGGGCACTTTCACTGAAAGACTACTGTGTGGAATTCACTTGGTGGTCACAGCCTTCTCCTGACCTTTTCACTTGAAGGAATTCATGCACTTGAGCCCACACTCATGGGCAATTGTTGGCAAGTTCTCTGTAGTTGCCAACAACTGCCAAAGAGTGGGGCTTTGTCCAAGCCCCACTGTTTGTTACCACTTTGCCCAAGGTAATCCCTACTCACTCAAGTCCCAGAGTGTCTTTTCCTGGGGTCACATATAAGCTACAAACACACCAAGGCAGAATAGGCTATAATAATGACTAAAGATTAGGTAAAATTACATTTTTCCAAAAATTAAGCCAATGGTCTAGAGAGAGTTTAAGTGTCTTGAGTGGGTCACACTGCCAGCACAAAGCCTTCATATCCCATTTTACATGTTCAGTTGTTACAGCATAAATCTCTTTCTCATTTAAATGTATTTTACATTATTGTATACCTTGCACTATTTTCAATACAAATTATTTTTACTTTGTTAGCTGTTCAATAAAGATTTAAAACCAACTATCTTTATTGCTTCTGGATCAAAGAACATCTGTAATAACATTGAAATGTCTCCACAAAATTGTCACTCTGCCTTTCAGAAACAGCGGGGAGATACATTTCTAAATGTGTAGGGGTGGCCAGTAGCTGATCTCCCTCCTTGGGACATATTGCTTTTCACCATTGGGTACTTTGAAAGAATGAATTTCTACGTATAGCTTTATCTTTAAATAAAACTTTTATCTTTTAGACATACTGAGAGAATGCCATTTACAGTTCTAATCTTGGTCTGTACTCAAAGATATTTAGGCAAGTAGAAAATGGGGAGTGCAATTTAGGAATTTTTGCCAAAAAACAAATCGTGTAACAACAAAAGAAGCCACCATCATGACAGTCCATCTGAGAAGTCATAGGCACAGGGACTGGGAATTGATCATTGACAGATGTTTTTTACCTTTTGCGATTCTGTCAGTCAGCCCCTTGTCCCACTGAAAACAGAGCTTTGCTGCTGATTTTGAATGAGCTGAAATTTTGCCAACATTTATAACTGCAGAACAGAAATTATTTTTAGCTTTTGGGACATTAAATATATGCAATTCTATTTTAATCATTAAGTCAGTGAAATCACATAATTGAATTACTGAATTCCTCTGAGGAGAACCTAATTTCTCATCTCAAATGATACTCAAAAAAACAGAGTAAAAACTCTGTCACCCTTGACAGACGTTACTAAAATGGGATGCCATTTCCCCAAGCTCCAAACTCTCCCGCTGCTAGAATATAATCCTTCAGCCGTCCAACTGCAGCGCAACCGCAGCAAAACGCCACGGCGCGACCTGAGATCCATCCCTCCCAAGGCTTCCGAGAGAAGGCGAACAGAGCTGGAAGAGGAACCCGGAATGCCAGCGTTCGCAGGGGTTCCCGAGGCAAGGAAGGCAGGCGCACCGCGGCCACGGCGGCGCTTCCCGCTGGGACAGGCCCGCAGCGCCACCGGGCGGCCGCCACCTGCCCATCCCGCCGCTGCCCGGTGTCCCCGCGTCCCCTCTGCCCGCACCTCCCGCCT